TGACTGGGGTCCCATGAGGACCAGCCAGCATGGCAGAGGAGGGGCCATTTCTCCCAACGCCTCACCTCCAGATGGCTGGAAGCAATTTCTTTACTGGCCCTTCCCAATCCAGGCTCACTGGGATCTCTCTTCTTAGGTATCATTCCTTCATAAAGATTTCTGAAACTATAAGTCTCCAATTTTAAGAAATGCAGGATGGGAAAGAGTTACTGAGTTAAAAGAAGAGTTTTCTTGAACATCACATTGGAATAAATGATTCTAACTATTGGTTTGGCCAGAAAGTTCATTCAGGCATTTCTGTAAGATTTTACGCAAAAACCCGCATGAACTTTTTGACCAACCCAATACATCAGAAACCACATTCACAGTACATCAAGGTCTGCTGTTCTGATAAAGGTCTTGGAGAGACAGGAGATGTATGTTAGCATCATTATTTTCAACCACCTCTGGGCGACATTCATGGAGCTGAGAGCTTGATAACATTTTATTTATTTAGTTTCCAGAAAGGCTGCTGGTGTATCTGAGGTTGCACAAAGTTACACGTACCAGCCGTGGGAATGAGCTGGCATGTGAATTCAGATTGGACTCGAAGGCCCCCATACTATGGAGCTTTGGAGATAAGTTTTACTCTTTTTTGCACATTTTTCTGGCTTAGCTCTGTGCCAGGATGCTGAGCCCAGAGCAGAAGGTTGCCCAGTTGGCTGCAATTGAAGCTCCCACACCACCCCCACAGTGTAAACCTAAGGACCCCTGAGCATGACCCAGGAGAAGCAGGTTCCCCATCCACACAGACATGGGCAGAAGCAGGTTTCTAGACGTGTTGGGCAGCCCTTTACAGCAAAGTTATGTCCAGGGTCAGCGTCCATTCCTGTGGATGATGTTCTCAGAGGGGTCAGCAGCAGTACTGATTTTTAAATTTATTTACTTTTATTTGGCTGCATCAGTCTTAGTCGCAGCACATGAGATCTTCTTGCATCATACAGGATCTTTCCTTGCAGCGCATGGACTCTCTTTAGTTGTGGTGGGTGGGCTCAGTAGTTGCAGGCATGCGGGCTTTCTAGTTGTGACTCGTAGGCTCCAGTGTGGGGGCTTAGTTGCTACACAGCATGTGGGATCTTAGTTCCCCGGCCAGGGATCGAACCTGTGTTCCCTGCATTGCAAGGCACATTCATAACCACTGGACCACCAGCAAAGTCCCAGGAGTACTGACTTTTAAAAAATTTTATTTATTTTTGGCTGCACTGGGTCTTTGTTGCTGCGCATGGACTTTCTCTACCTGCAGCGAGTGGGGGCTTCTCATTGCAGTGTCTTCTCCTGTTGCAGAGCACAGTGTCTAGGCATGCAGGCCTCAGCAGTTGTGGCACATGGGCTTAGTTGCTCCGTGGCATGTGGACTCTTCCCAGACCAGGTATCAAACTCATGCTCTCTGCACTGGCAGGCAGATTCTTAACCACTAGACCACCAGGGAAGTTCCAGAGTGCTGAGTTGTAATTCAGGGTCCTTCTGCAAAACTAATCAAGAGTTCTCCTCTAAGCCAGCAAGAGAAACAGATTTCCAGCTTGAAAGGAGGATGGGAGGGGTGTGGGGAGGAACCTTAGCTGTCACAGCTGGAAACTTCAGCATCAGGAAGTGCATCTGTGTCAGGCTCCCTCTCCAGTCAAGGACAAAGCAATCAGAAGCCTGGCTCTTCACCTTCCCTCCCTGGAGGTTCCTTCTGCGTGTCCAGGCTCCCTGACTTTCTCACTCTGCTCTTCCCTTTCCTCCCCTCGGCAAGCCCCACAGGGCTTCTGCACACAGTACGCTCGCTCCCATTCCTTCTCAGCCATTCTCTCAGCTTTTCATGTTGTATTCTGCCAACTGTCCCTAGATGCAGTCTGTTTCCCCTAGCATACTCTTTTCAAAATTAATCTATATTCTACATAAGGCACAATAACCCATTTGTCTCCCCAAAACCTATAGCATTGTAGAGAAAATTCAAGCCATTCTACCCTTGCCAAACTCTTATAATCCATGGTTACCCCTCAACCTTCTAAAAGGCAGCCACTGAGTGTACATGTTCTTTCTGATTTTTGTTCTGTGCTTTTGCAACACACGTGGGACTCCATTAAAACTATGCAGTATTTGTTGTTATTGATGAAGTTTTTTTACATGAAAAATACATATATTGTTCTGCAGATTTTTTTTTTTTACTCAATAATACATCTTAGAGATCTATTTGCATATATATAGGTTCAACTCAATTTTTTTAAATTGCTATATAAAACTCTACACTGTGAAGATGCCTTAATCTACTTAGGCATTCCAATACTGATGGGCATTTGAGTTTCTACTATTACAAAGACTGGTGTGATCATTTCTCTCTGTGTACATATACATGTTTCTTGGGGGCAGGTAAAGCAGAAGGGAAATTTCTGGGTTCCAGGGTAGACACATTTCTAGTTCTAAAGGACACGGCTAGGCCCTCCGAACCAGTTGTACCAATAGGTAGATCTGAGAGCACTATCCTGACATTCTCACTAGTACATGATACTATCAGACTTGTAAATTTTTATCCGTTTGACGAGTGAGAAATGCTACCTCATTTTTCAAATTTAATTTTTTGTTAGAGTGCAGTTGTTTTGGACTTCCCCGGTGGCTCAGCGGTAAAGGATCTGCCTGCAATGCAGGAGACTGAGGTTTGATCCCTGGGTTGGGAAGATTCCCTGGAGAAGGGAATGGCAACCACCCCAGTATTCTTGCCTGGAAAACTCCATGGACAGAGGAGCCTGGCGGGCTACAGTCCCTGGGGCCGAAGGAGAGTCGGACACAAGCGAGTGACTAAAAAACAACAGCTGATTTACAATGTTGTGTTAGTTTCAGGTGCCCAGCAAAGTGATTCATTTATACATATATTCATTCTCATTCAGATTTCAATATTCTTTCATATAGGTTAGTACAGAATATTGAGTATAGTTCCCTGTTCTAGATAGTAGGTCCTGGTTGATTATCTATTTTACACATCGTAGTTATGTTAATCCCAAATTCCTCATTTATTCCTCCCCCCGCCCATCTTGCCCCTTTGATAACCATAAGTTTGTTTTCCAAGTCTGTGAGGCTGTTCCTGTTTTGTAAATAAGTTCGTTTGTATCATTTCTTTAGATTCCACATATAAATGATATCATATGATATTTGTCTTTCTCTGTCTAGCTTACTTCACCTACTATGATAACCCACCCACATTGCTGCAGAAAGCGTTACTTCATTTTATTTAAAAAACAATTCTATTTATTCACTTCTGGCTGTGCCAGGTCTCCGTTGCTATGAGGGCTTTTCTGTAGTGGTGGTGCGCGGGCTTCTCATGGCAGTGCTTCTCCTGCTGCTGAGTCTGGGCTCTAGGGTGCGTGGGCTTTAGTAGTTGAGGCACACGGGTTCAGTAGTTTTGGCTTCTCCTGCTGCTGAGTGCGGGCTCTAGGGTGCGTGGGCTTTAGTAGTTGAGGCGCACGGGTTCAGTAGTTGTGGCTCCCAGACTCTAGAGCACCGATTCAATAGCTGTGGCTCATGGGGCTTCGTTGCTTCTTGGCATGTTTCATCTTCCCAGATTAGGGGTCAAACTCATATCTCCTGCATTGGCAGACAGATTCTTTACCACTGAGCCACCAGGAAAGCCCTATTTCATTCTTTTTTTTCTGGCGGAGTAATATTCCACTACCTCATTTAAGTTGCATTTCCCTTAAGATTTGGCAGGGTTGAGCATTCTTTTCTAAAATCAATTTCCGAGCCATTTTCCATACCTGTTTTTGTGATCTACCTATTCATATTCTTTGCCCATTTTTAAAAACTGAGCAGCTTGTCTTTTCGCCTTATCACTTGCTTTCCTGATTGAGCACACAGCAGGTACTTGGAACACAGGGAATTTCAAGCTACTCATCCACTCTCTATGGGGACACAGCAGCTTTGGGCCACCCTGTAGGGCTCTGATGTATTCCTTTAAAGGGGATCAAACAGCACCTCTTCTGGGAAGCTTTCACAGTATTCTCATGGCATTGGGGGACCACTGGTCCTGAAGCTGATAGTGACATGCGCTGGCACTGACCAGAAGCCACTTAAAGTCAGGGGACTCTGGCACACACTACACCTCGGGCCCCACAGCCAGCTGGAGTTTCCATGTGGAGCTGAGCAGCCTCTAATGGGCTAGTCCTGGGCCTGCCTCAGCCCAAAGCCTGAGCTCCATGGACCCCACCTGCAGAAGCCCTCACCAGCTGAGGGCCCACTGTGTGCGAGCCATATGCAAGGTGGCCCATGATTGCCACTTTGTTTCATCCCACTGCAGTGACGGATGCCAATTCCAAGTTCTGCAGTTTTCTCCAAACCACCCAGTGTGGCCCTGGGAAGACTGGGAGTTGAACTTGGATCAGCATCCCTGCTTTGCTGATAGCCCCGCTGTGCTCCTGGGCTGGCTGCTCCTGGAAGCTGAAGAGTACAGGTCAGTGCAATCAGGCCCCAGTTACAGCATCCCACAGCCCTCCCAACACCTCTGCCTACCTGGTCCATCTCCAGAGCCCTGGTGGCAGAGCACTGAGGAGCCTGAATTCTTGGTGAGGGGAACACCCACCTCCCCTTTCCCAAGGCCTCACATGAGAGGATGCTGAATAACAGGGACACAAGGGGACAGTCATCCTTGAACTGAAAAAACCTCGGGTGGAGGATCAGAGTCAGTCAGAGTACTACCCACCCCAAGTGCCCCAGCCCTGTGAGCCAAAGAAAGAGAGAAAGAAAATGAGACAGGGGACTTCCTGGATGGTCCAGTGGTTAAGAATCTGCCTTCCAATGCTGAGGAAACAGGTTTGATCCCTGGTCTGGGAACTAAGATCCCACATACTGTGGGGCAACGAATCCAGTGCACCACAACTTCTGAAGCCCTCGAGCCTAGAGTCCATGCTCCGCAACAAGAGAAGCCCCCACAATGAGAAGTCCGTGTACTGCAATGAAGAAGAGTAGCTCCCACTCACCACAACTAGAGAAAGCCTACACACAACAACAAAGACCCAGAATGACCAAAAGTAAACTATAAATAAGAAAGAAAATGGGCGAGGGGTTCTCGAAGGTAAACAGACAAAATTTTGGTCAAATTCCGATACATCTTCCTCTTAACATTTAATACTAAAAAATCATAATGGTGACCTGATTGCCTCTTGTGAATTCCGGCACTCTCAGAGAGCCTATCTCTTGAGGTGACAAGCCGGGGGTACCTGAATTCATTACTGCCTGATTAATTATGCTGCCTTTGTAGGAGGGAAATGGGGACTTCAATCAGCCACAGCCACCACCCCCGGCCACCACCTCGTCAGGCCAGACGCTGCCTGCGAGCCTGGCCCGACTCCCAGTGTGGGGGTGACTAGGAAGCTGGGAGTGGTGGCTGGTTAGATGTGGCTGCCAGCGGTCAGAGGGCTTGGGATGTGGGGCCCTCTCTGCAGAAAAGAGCTTTGGGGCAGTCGAGGGAGGGAGGGGCAAGTTGGGTCCAGTAGCGGCTGAGTGGAGATTTCTACTCTGTCCCAGTAAGGGCCTGGCCAGGAGGCCCTCCTCCGGATTGTCTGAAACTGGGTATCATCCCTTCGGGAGGGAGCAGGATCTCAGAAGGTGCTATTTAGCATAAATGTATCCCTTGGGACACACGGTCACTTGTGTGAAGGCAAAGGTTTACCCAGAGCTGTGCGTGGGCACAGCCCCGACGAGCGTCAAGGCAGTCTTGCCCTCGAGAGGAGCTCGGGGCAGCTGCAGGCATGGGGCAGGGTGAGACCAGCGCCTCCCAGCTGGTTTATAAGGCCACCAGGGCACTCCTGCTGCGGCCCTTTGTCCTGCACACTCTGCATTTACCCAGGTCTGTCTACCAAGTTGTGAGGCACAGTCATATTTGAAGGCTTGCACAGTGATGTGCTTTTTCAAAGAAGAAAAGACTAAATATCTTTGGAAATATCAGTTCCCCACCCCTGTCCTGAGGCTGCTCTGTGTGTGGAGCAACAGAAGGCGCTCGTTGCAGCATAGCGCCTTGTGAGCCTTGGCCTCGGTGGGTATGGTTTAAAATCATACCCTGTCATAGATGTGCTGTGTGGCCGTGGCACCTAACTTCTCTGAGTCTTGTGTTTTCAGAGAAACTACATCCCCCAGGGGTGGTTGTGAGAGCTAAACAAGCGAGCAGACGTGAAGTCCTTGTTCTTGCCTCAGAGTACCTCCTGACATGGGCCAGCCTGATCCAGTCGCTTTGTTGCCATTTTGTCAACCCTGAGCAATCAAAATGGGAAGTGCTGGGTTTTGTTACTAAGCTGTGCAGGAATCCGTCCTCCCACTGCCAAACTTGCAGGGGTTTGGAGAGCACGCAGTACGGGGCGATTCTGCAAAACCCTGTTTCTAGGTCACAGCAGAGCAATCCAGACCCATCAGCTTTGCTGAAGTCCCCTCCCCCTGCCCGCAGGCTGCCCTCCCTGGAGGTGTCACCAGCCTCCCGACAAGCCACTTGGCAGGTATGGTCAGAGGGCGAGGACGGAACAAGCCCAGGAAGACCCAGGACAGTTGCTCACATTCTAGGGACAGGGGTGTGTGTGCAGAAGTGTCACCAGGGAAGCCATGAAGGGTCGGCAGTGGTTCAAGGGCACCAGGAAACCGGGAGAGGGTGTCACCAATCAGAAGCTGAGACTAGAGTCCAGTCAAGGGAAAAGTTTAGGTCCCGGCTGGTCAGAAGCTGTCATAGGCCAAGCAGCAGCAGTCCTCAGCCTATTAGGAGCACTGAGGCTTGGACACCCCCATTCAGACTTGTGGAGCAAGCTTAGCACCTGAGAGAGGGCTGGCCTGGGCATTAGAACCTCCACTCGGAACCCTAGAGCACACAGCGTGAGGTCCTACCAGAGACAAGGGGACTAGGTCCCCAAAAGAAAGATCTAGAAACTAGATTCTCCTGAGGACCAGTGGGAGTGAGTTTGGGGCACAGAGACAGACCATCCAAAGAAAAACGGGGCAACAGCCTCTGTAGCATCTTTGTTTTCAGCAGCTGAACCTACAAGGTTCAAACTTCGGAGATTTAAAACTAGCTAAGTGAGAAAGCTATAAAATATATAAAGGCCACTTAACGAACAGCAGTCACCTCCCTTAGGTTTCCAGGTGTCTAGACACATGCTCAATACCACCTGGGACATCTGGTTCCCACCCACCCCCTGCCAAAACTCACTCAGAGAACCTGCATATAGCCTCCTTGGGGTCTTTTTTCTCAGTATGGGAGAATGGCCTCTCCTGAAACCTGACTATGAAACTGCCAAAGGGACCCCTGAAAAGACAAATGTTAAAGAGCAAACATCAGGGCGGTGGCTCTTACTTGCTTCCCCTTTGGAATCATAATATGCCATTACACTGGTAAGAGATAAAGACATTTGCCTGAAGGAAAAACCAATGTCTATGGACTGAATTGTGTCCCCTCCAAATTACACATGGCAACCCACTCCAGTATTCTTGCCTGGAGAATCCCATGGACAGAGGAGTCTGGTGGGCTACAGCCCATGGAGTCATACAGAGTCAGGCACAACTGAAGTGACTTAGTATGCACGCAGAAATTTATACGTTGAAGCTCTAACCTCTGATGCTATAGTACTTAGAGATGGAGGCTTTGAGAGGTAATGAGGTTAGATGACATCATGAGGGTGGGGCTCCCATGATGGGATTAGTGGTCTTATTACAATACCAGTGAGTTCACTCTTTCTGCCATGTGAGGACACAATAAGAAGGCAGTCCTCTGCAAACCAGAAAGAGAGCTCAGAATCTGTCCATACCGGCATCTTGATCTCAGACTTCCACCCTCCAAAATTTTGAGAAAAATCAATTTCTACTGTTTAAGCCATCCAGTCTATGGTACTTTATTAAGGCAGCCTGAGAAGACTATGACACCTATGAATGGTCTTTTCTTCATTTTTCTCCGGTCTGGTTTTGAAGCTACACTGTTGACCAAAAGGACTAGGTGAACACCTTGCACCAGAGCCAGATGCAGATGCCAGCACTATGCAGATGCTAGTTCTAAATGAGTAAAGGACCCTCTAGAAACTGTCAAGAAAATGCTAGGACCCTGATGATGAGAGGATCATTCACAAAGACAAAGGCCTTCACTAATCTTCAATTGCTCTATCTCACTACCTATCAGAAGATGATATGCTGATGCTAAGTCCCAAAGACAGGAAGGCCAATGGGGTGAGCAGTGGGTGGAAGAGGCACCAGCCTCCAACCCCATCTGGGACTTCTGGACATTTCAACCCATCAGCAGAGCAGACAAGGAGGATGAAATGTGTTCCCTCAGACCCCTCACATTGCTTCACAAATACCACCCAGAAGCCCAGGGAATCCATGAGTGAAAAAGAAGGTCTCCAGGACACCTACTACTCAGTTGCCTGGTATAGGAAGAACACTGAACCAAGAGTCAAAAGGCTTGGCGTCTACAGACCAGCTACTCAAATTGTAAGCTGTAGCCTTGGGACAAGTTACTTAACCTCTCTGTGCCTGAATTTCCAACCTATAAAGTGTATCCACACCTCCCACATTTGGTTATTATGGGGATCAATGAGAGAATAAACAATGGAGGTTCTATAAGGGTTATTTTCCTTCCTCTTCCCTTTTTCCCTACCTTGGCCTCTTGTCTTTACCTGTTTGCTGTTAATTTTACAGATATTTCACAAAACTCACTGGGGAGAAAAATCTTCCCCTTAAAAAAAAAAAAAATGATGTCCATCCAGGGGCTAGGGCTTTGTGCTTTCAAAGCAGGGGCACAGGTTCAATCCCAGCATAGGTTCAATCCTGCATGTCACATGGCACAGCCAAAAAAAAAAAAGTCATAGTTTGTTTTTTTTTTTTTGAAAGACTATGGGTCTTAGTTCAGAAAAAAACAAGACAAGGGGAAAAAAATATGTTAACGAGTCTGGCACATAGTAGGTGCTCAATGAATATTTGAGAAAGGAACTCTGCAGAAAGAATGAGTCCTTCTCTCATTGGGCTCCTGTGTCTTAACTACAGTGCACACTCAGAGATGTGGGGGTCCCGCCTATGCCTGCCTCTCTCTCTCCCTCTCTCTTTCTCTCCAGTTTTGAGCTCCACTAGGACAGGCACTGCCTAACACTGAACCTGACCTTTGGCAAAGCTCAGCAAACTTGGGGTGAACAGAAAGAGAGCTGTGAGTGTTTATACACTATAGACATGCAGATTACCAGACCCAATGGCATGGTTTTCAGGCTTTCAGACTCTTAAGAGGATGGGTGGCATGTGGGTAAAACAGAGTGTGATCCTTCTTTAAGAAAATGCTAGCTTTAAAGACATGAAAACAATCAATTTGATCCAATAAGAATCAGAAAAAAACACTTTCCATGAATTATTATTGACAGTGCCAAATTTGTGAGGTCACAGAAATATTTATCTTTCTGCCTCTCAACAATCTCTTTAGTCCTTGTTTGCATAGTGTGTTGTTCTTTGATTTTTGGTAGTTTGACTCGGATGTGTCTAGATGTGATTTTTTTTTTTTTAATTTACACTGATTAGGGCTCTAAAGGCTTCCCTGGTAGCAGCTCAGCTGGTGAAGAATCCGCCTGCAATGCAGGAGACTCCAGTTTGATTCCTGGGTTGGGAAGATGTGCTGGAGAGGTTAGGGTACCCACTCCAGGATTCTTGGGCTTCCCTTGTGGCTCAGCTAGTAAAGAGTCTGCCTGCAATGTGGGAGACCTGGGTTCAATCCTGGGTTGGGAAGATCCCCTGCAGTATTCTGGTCTGGAGAATTCAATGGACAATAGTCCATGGGGTCACAAAGAGTTGGAAGTGACTAAGTGACTTTTACTAACTCACAGGGCTCTAAACAGATTCTTGAATCTATGGATTTATGTATTTCATCAACTTTGTAAAATTTCTGGCTATTATCTATTCAAAAATTGCTCCATTCAGTTCTCTCTCTCCCTGTCATTTTCTGGGACTTCAGTTACAATTTTGCTAAAACCTTTTACTATGTCCAAAATATGATAAACTCTTTTTGTATTTTCCATTCTTTTATCTCTTGGTGATTCATTTCAGATTATTTTCTGTCTTCCAGTTCACCTCTCTTCATCCATCTAATCTACTTTGAATTCATCTAATATGTTCTTATTTTTAATTACATTCTCTCAGTTGTAAAATTTCCATAGATTCTTTATATACATATATATATATATTTCTATTACCTGTTGGAATTTTCTATTTTGTCTTTATCTCCTGAAATGTATTGATCAGGGGTTATTCTATCAATATGTGTCTATATCTGATAACTCCAATAACTGGATTTCTGTGAATCAGTTTATATTATCTACTTCTTCTCTTGGTTAAAGGTGACTTGGTCTTATCTCCTAGTATGCCTAGTAAATTTTGATCAGCTGAAACGTGTTGTATACAAAAGGTTGTAGAACAAATGTAGTATTGTAGGTAATGCTTTCTCCAGAGATTTTCTTTTGCTTTTGTAATGCAGTTAGTATAGAGGCTGACCATCTTAATCTCATTTGAGTCAAAACTGAACCTTTGTGAGAGTTGAGTTGGTCCTTTTTTGATTTGCCTTTCCTATTGGTGTAACCTTTCAGAGTGAAGTGAAGTCACTCAGTTGTGTCCGACTCTCTGTGACCCCATGGACTATAGCCTACTGGTTCCACCATCCATGGGATTTTCCAGGCAAGAGTACTGGAGTGGGTTGCCATTTCCTTCTCCAGGAGATCTTCCTGACCCAGGGATTGAACCTGGGTCTCCTGCATTGTAGGCAGACACTTTATTGTCTGAGCCACCAGGAAGAGACCTTTCAGAGATCCTAACCAAAAGCCCAGGATGTTACCAGGGTCTCTGTGAGATTGCCAAAGCTTTTCTCAACTTCTTAGCATTGAAATTACTGTTTTTAGAGATGCCGTAAGGGGAATGAATAACAGTGCTGTTATGTCCTGAATATTTGTGCCTCCCCCATCCATATATTGAAGCCCTGCCTCTCAAAGTGCTCATATAAGGAAGTGAAACCTTGGGAAGGTAATCAGGTTTAGGTCGGGTCAGGGGTAGGGTGTAGCCTCTGCGATGGGATTAGTGCTCTTGTAGAATGATGGAGAGACAGCAGAGTGTCCTCTCTGCCATGTGAAGACAGACACAGAGAGAAGGTGGCAATCTGCCAGGCAGCCTTCACCAACAACCAAATCTGCTGACACCTTGATCTTGGACTTTCAGCCTCTATAACTGTGAGAAAGAAATGTCTATTGTTTAAACCACCCAGACTCCGGAAAATTTTATAGCAGCCCAAGCTAAGACAAATGTCAAATGTCAGGCTCACCTTCCTGTGTTTCCATTCTCTCCAGGATCTTGCCCTGTCAGGTTCTCACTATCAGATATATTCGTTAAATTATCCAGCTGTTTTACTTGTTTGAGGTAGGAAGTTTAGTTTGATCTAGCCTGGTGTTCCAGAGCCAGAAGCAGAGGTCTCAACTATTCTTATAGCATAATTCCTCACTTATAATGATGGCTAGCACAAAAATTAAGGCTTAGGTTATTAGCTTTGGTGTAATAAATTCCATCTGGGTGGGTAAAAAAAATACAAATTGGTTCAACCGATTGGAAAAAGTAGAAAATTATAGTTTCCTATTAAGGTAAATTATTCTAATTAAATTAGTATAAGAAGCTTTTGAGCAGTCACTGGAAACATACAATATATCATAGCTAATTTCCCAATATTTTCCCACAGTGAAGTATACCTTTGGTTTACAGCAGTAAAAATTAGAGGAGCTGCTAGCATTCCCAGCCCTCCACCAGGCTCTGGATCACACTGCTAGATGCTGCCAGGTCCCTAAAAAGACAGCATATTTGACTCAGCATCATAGCCCAGGCAAACTCATTCAACAAACACAGAGCAACCAAATTTAAACAGTCATATCTTACTTCTCCAAGAGTTTCAGAAATTGTCCTTTTAAAGTACAAACATCCACAAAAACCAAGAAAATGAAAAGAGAATAATTCTCCATAATGGAGTAAAGATGTGATACTGCCAACTACTTGCTAAATGACAACTAGTGTTTTAAGCTTTGCCCCAACAGATGGTTCATGTCACATGGGTGAAAAGGCCATCAAAGCACAAAGTTTGACCTGTTTTGGCAGAGTATCAGCATGAAGAATTAACCTGAAGGCCAGGCTGCATGCTGTATATTAAACTGCATGTCCTACAGGAAGAGAGGGAGGTTGCGAACAGTTGGGAAGGCTGAAAGTATTCACTACAGGCACCCATGTTTTGAGGAGCAAATGGGCTTTACGACCAAGGCTGAGTCTTGGTAGAGCTAAAGTTACTAAGTGAAATGCCTTGGGAACCAGATAGACAGAAATAAATCTAGGAGTCCAAGAGACCATTCCCAAAGAAGGTTATAGACTGGTTAATATGATGATGCTTTGGCCTTCAAACGCAACTGGGGGACTCAAGTTTGGATTGTCTCAGCTAACAAAATAAAGGATGATGACAGGAAGTACACAGTGGCGGGGGTGGGGGGCGGTGTGTGGAGTGTCGCTCAGCTCCCTGGAGGGACACACAGAGAATAAAAAGTTGGTTACCGGCAAGTTACAACCCCAGAATCTATTAGGATTAAATGGATGTAGACCTAGTCTAACCACCTTACCTTATAGAAGATGAACTGATGCCACCCCGGGAACTCCTTTTCATCTGTCAGAATCCATATCAAATGTCAGTTCTTTTGCAAAGCTTTCCATGCTTCCTTCTTTGTTATTTTCTAATCTAAAGTGTCAGAGCCATGATTTAGAAGCCCAAGCAGACAGTAGGCTCTCCACAGTTTTTGTTGAATGGCCAAGTGAGAAGTGACATGTACAGTCACAGAGCAAGACAAAGGCCTGTCGTCCTGAGCTCCATCCCAGGTAATTTTGTCAGGCTTCAAGGCTGGTTCCCAAGTTTGAGAATACCTTGCTAAAAGCAAAACATTAAAAAAAAGAATAATAAAATGAACCACCATATACTCATTACTAATGTTCAACCTTGTTTCCATCACTTACTTTTTCTTATTTCTACATAAAATTATTTAGAAATAAATTCCATATTTCATATCATTTCATCTATATTTTTGTACTGCATCTCCAGATTTCAACATACACTGAAAATCTTCAAATGTTTGTAAATACTTAAAAATATAACCATGATATTATCCATCTGAAATAATATAATAATACTTTAAAAATATCCAATACCCAGTAGTGTTTAAATTTACAAGTGTCCTATGAATGTCAATTTTTCCTTTCATTTATTCAATTTAGAATCTAAATGCAATATTTTCCATACAATTATTATTAAAGAACTGGGCCATTTATAGTTTCACAAGATGTAGATCATTTTGATTATGTTCCCACAGTGTTGTTGATCTAGATGACCCTTGATCAGATGCTGCTTTGATTTGTGTGAGGGCAGGGTTGTAAGGAGTATCGAAATGATTTCATAGCTGGTGCTGGGTTTTTTCATTAGCATATCATGTGGGTTCTCTCTTTTTAAGACAGTAGTCATAGCTTATCAGGCCTAGATCCAATCATTCATTAAGAATATAAAATGGTGATGTTCTGTCTATAATTCTTTCTTCGTTTATTAGCTGGAAATACTTTCACAAAAAGAAATTTCCCCCCATCTACCATCTGGCCACCCAAGCCCAATTTTAAAAGAATTTGAACCAAGACCATGCTTTCTCTCAAAGTAGAATCCTCTGCAGGAGGATGAAGAGCTTCAAGGAAACCTTCATTTATTCTTTATTTTTTAGTCAAGAACTAACTGAAAGACGGTGGGCCTGACAGCTGCAGAAAGACCATCTCACTAGGTTCTGAGGACCTGCCTGCCCTGAGATTTTCTTTAGAAGCATTGCTCCTGGGCTTGCTCTAAAGGTCTACCTTTTCTCTTTGAAAATGTTTTCTCCTGTAATTAACGGAGTTTCTAATTTGGGGAATGGATAAAAATTCATCAAACTTATATTTTAAAAAAGTCATAATCCTGAAGCTGCAAATATCTGGCTCCAGGGAAATCCTGGATGGAGGAAAGATGCTAATCAGGATAGAATTTAAGACAATAGTTTATAATCTTTCATCCTCAGAACTGAGACTAACCCAAGGAAATGCCAAGCAAAAAAGTAAAACCGGCGATTGATTCTGCATTTTGAGAAACTGACCAAGTTTCTTGATCAAATGCTGATTGCAAGTCTGACTCAAGGTTGAGCATATAAAAGAACCCTCCGGGGTACCCTGCTTTCGGTCTCAGCAAGCTGCGATTTTGAAAAAAAACAAGGCTGGCAATCAGAGACCTCACTCGTTCCACTGCCGCAGAGGAAATGAAGGATGCTTCGCCTCCAGTTCCTGGCTCCTGCTGACATGCCCTCGGGTTCATGCTGGCGCCAGGCTGGGAGGGAGAGTGGTCGTTGTCTTACTGTCTGCAGAGGTTAAACGGAATCTCTACTCCTCGACTGAGGAAAGAAAGGCCTCTTCCTCATTAATTTCGTGAGCCTGGGGACCGCCGCGGTGATCCTGCGAAGCTGTCAGGGCAGCGTGCCCAGACCTTCCTCCGTCTCTAGCCCCTCTCTTCTACTCCAAACCCTCAGGACTCAGGTCCTGGGGAAAATCTTGGCCCTCGTGGGGTCTCTCCTTGTAGGCTTTCCCTTGGCTTCCTCGTGGTTGGCTAACTAAAGGTGAGGCCTTGGCACAGTGTGTGCCTCAGTTTCCCCAGTTGTAAAGTAATATGGTTAGACTGGAGCCTTGCTTCGCAGAATCACCAGGAAGCTTCAACATAAACCTTCGGTCAGGGTGCCCTTGGGGAGCCACCGGATCGGAAAGAGGGGCTCCAGAGCTCGCAGCCCGGGCTGGAACCCAGGACCCGGGCTCTCCGGCCTCTCCAGCCGCTCCACCCACCCGCCTGCTCTCGCCCTCGGCCCGGGCGGGGTCGTGCATGTCTGCGAGCGGGTTCCGGGAGGCTGGGCGGGGCGGACCCGGCTGGGCAGCCCCACCGGAAAGACTCGTTTCAGCCGGCGCAGGCGGAGACCGGGAGGAAACAGACTTGTCGCCCCTGCCTCGGGCCGTTCGGGTCCCCAGCCCCCAGCGCAGCCCCACCGAAGTCGGAGAAACGCCGGCCGGCAGCTGGGCAGCCCTGGGGTCACCCACTCCCACTCCCCTCGGGCCCCAGCCCCCCAGGCCACACCTGGGCTCCGCCTCGGGTCCCGGGGCTCTGACTCTGCAGTGCTTCAATGGGGGAGGGAAGACCGACCCAGAAGAGGGAGGGCGCGACCCGTGCAACGGCCCCGTTGCCTAGAAACCGACCCCGCCTTGGGCACAGGCCGCGAGCAGCCGCGGCGCAGCTGCTTCTTCCCCCTTCCCCCACGCCCTCCTGAGCAGCCCTGGTAGCCGCAGTGCTCAGGCGACCCCAGGCGGAGACCGGAACCTCGGACGGCTGCTCTGCCGGTGAAAGCCCGCGGGCACGCCAGCGGACGACCCCCGACCCGCCCGCCCCGCGTGGGCCGCGGGCGCCGCGCCTCTGGGCTCCGGGTGGGGCCGGCCGGCCGGCCCAGTCACGCCACCTCCGTGGGCCGCACCTCCTCTTGGGGCGCTCCGGCTGAGCTGAGCCTTGTGGCGGCGAGACCCTGGCCCGGGTCTGGGGGCTGCCAGACCCCGCCCGGGGTCTCTGGGGTTTGCAGCTCAGGCCATCTGGTCAGCCGGCGCGCCCAGGGCCTCCAGCTTCGCCCCAGGGGCGTCAGGGCACGAGCGAGGCCGGTGCCTGCTCAGGCTGCGGCCCTGCCAAGCCGGACAAAGCACAGCCTCCTCTGGGGCCTCATCTCTGCCTTTACTGTTGGGTAAGATCGCCCCCTCCCCGGGTTTCTGCTTCAGCTCCCCTAGGGACACAGTGACGCACGGGGTCGGGCTTCCAGGCGTTTTATACGCCCTCTGTGAGAACGGAAATGTATACAGAAAACAGCCCTTTCGGGGAAGACTCGCAGGTGACCAAGAGCGCCTGTCGAAGACCAAGAGCATGTCAGACCTCTGGTTACTCTCTGGCAATTTATGCCAGGCGAGGAGGGCAGATCGGCAAGTACGACTGTTTGGAAAATACCCACAGTAACCACTGGCCTCTGAGAACGAATGCTGCTTAATTGTCAATTAGACGGAAACCAGTCTAGAGACCGGTTAAGAGAGAAGTGCCAGGACCAAAGCCCCCAAACTGGGCATCAGGAGACTTGAGCGCCAGAGCTGCCCAGTGCCATAATCCTGTGTGACTTGGTCAATGTATGTAAAGTCTCTGAGCCTCACAGTGTTCTCATGCTAAGAAGAGCCTGCCCTACTTCAGAGCGCAACAGGAGACAGCAGACATGACCGCTGACTGCTCCCAGCTTTCTTACCCCCTGGAAAAGAATGTACAACTGCCAAGACTTCTGGGAGGGAGAGGATCCCATCCCTGAAGGAAGAGAACTTAAATAAGAACTTTATTTTTCCTTCTGCAAAAGTATAATTCCATCCTGGAGAAATGTAAAAAATCAAGGAGTCATTAGAAACCATTTATTGGGTTTTAACTTTTTTTTTTTTTAATCACAGAGATGGATGGAGGGTGAACAGGAATGCTGGTGTTCTAGATCTTAGAGAGTTAAGAGCATCAATTATGGAATCACACATATCTGAATTAGAGTCCCACCTGTATTTACAAGCGTTGTTACTTCAGATAAGTGACTTAACGTCTCCGAGCCTCAGATTGCCTAGCTAGCAAATGGGGAAAATAATAGCACCAGAAAATAATAATATGGGGCTGTTAGAAAAGTGACATGTTTATAACAGTGCTTGGTACAGGCCCAGCATATTGTAATACATTGTAAGTGTGAACTAGTGATTTTTTCTTTTCACAGTGGTTCCTACGCTTTCCCTTATCAACATTCTATTGTAAAAAATGTCAAATATACAGAAAAATTCAAAAAATTGTGCAGTAAACACTTATGCATGTTCCATCTACACGATACAATTAATATTTACAATACTTTATCACATATCTGTTCATCTTCAGGCTTTCGGGACTGTGAGAAATTGAATGTCTGTTGTGTAAACCGCCCAGTCTATGGGGTTTTGTTATGGTAGCCCTAGCAAATACACATAGAACACTTTAGGATTAGATGAAAATTTGAGTTATCAGTGCAAGTACATGGTTTTCAATGTACATTAAGATAAATATAAAAATAAATGCAGATGTAAGTGTGTGTGTATTATATAAATGGGTGTATGTATGTTTGCATGTATGTATATGCATTCATGTGTTTCCTATTTCTGTTCCCATCCCTGTTCACTGAGAATCCCTGGGAGCAGTGACATCCCCAAAGGCACAAGTTCCCCTAGTATCCAGATCTTGCTTTCTAAGTACGATTCTCCACTAAAAGGGCAGAGTAGGGAAAGAATAAGATGAGCCTGGAACATCTTGTGGTGCCAGAAAACAAGGAAGTGCCCGAGGAATGATACGGACAGGTCAAACACACAGAAGGAGTTCCCCCTGGCCACATCTGGGGCAACTGAATGAAAACCCATGAATCTGTACTGATACTCATGAATAAATGGGGAGAACAGTAGAATGCTTCCAGGGCAGAATGCCAGCTGTGTAAAGAACAGTGGAGTCAGAAAAGCATCATTTCACAACTAAGAATTCATCTAAGAATCATCAGTGGATGTTAGAACTAATAGGAGGAAGTTTGATGAGGAATGAGAGAGTATTTTCAAAACACTTTCCCCACAAAATGTTTACTAATTACAAAGGTAAAAAGTAATTTTGTAGTAAAGAACTTGGTAGATACAAATACAGCTTAATCAAGTTACCATCATCAGTAAAAATTATCTATAGAAGATATACAGGTGGCAAATAAGCAGATGAAAAGATGCTTAACATCGTTTGTCATTAGGGAAATGCAAGTCAAAATGGCAATGCAACATATTAGAATGGCTAAAATCCAAAAAACTGACAATACCAATTGCTGATGAGGAAATGTGAAGCAACAGGAACTCATATTGCTGATGGGAATGCAAAATAGAGCAGCCACTTTGGAAGATCATTTGGCAGTTTCTTACAAAGTGCAACCCAGTCTTACCAAACAACCCAGTCATACTCCTAGGCATTTATCCAACTGGATTGAAAGCTATGTCCACACAAAAGTCTGTCCATGAATACTTATAGTAATTTTATTCATAATTATTCCAAACTGGAAGCAACCAAGATATTCTTCAGTAAGTGAAATAGTGTGTTTGTGTGTGCACGCACACACTAATTCGCTTCAGTTGTGTCTGACTCTATGCGACCCTAAGGACTTGTAGCCCACCAGGTTCCTCTGTTCATGGGGATTCTCCAGGCAAGAATACTGAGTAGGTTGCCCTGCCCTCCTCCAGAGGATCTTCCTGACCCAGGGATCAAACTCATGTCTCTTATGTCTCCTGCATTAGCAGGCAGGTTCTTTACCACTGGGAAGCCACCTGCCACCTGGGAAGCCCCAAGTTAAAGGATAAGCAGTGATAAATCCATTCAGTGGAATACTATTTAGTGATAAAAAGGAATTGTTGCTGTTCAGCCCATCAGGCTCCTCTGTCCTTGGGATTTCCCAGGAAAGAATACTGGAGCGGGTTACCATTTCCTTTTCCAGGGGATCTTCCCAACCCAGGGGTCAAACCAGTGTCTCCTGCTTGGCAGGCAGATTCTTTACCACTGAGGTACCTGGGAAGTCCAAAAGGTTAAAAATCAATTACATTAATTAAATTAGAAAAATCAATTTTTCTAAGTTATGTTGTTTAGTCACTAAGTCATGTCCAACTCTTTTGCAACCCCATGGACTGTAAATATGGGTGAATATTAAATATATATTGCCAAAATGAAAGAAGCCAGTCTGAAAAGGCTTTTTTGATTTTTTATATCATATTTTATGATTCCATTTATATGACATTTTAGAAAAGGCAAAACTGTAGAGACAGTAAATAGATTAGTGGTTGCCAGAGGTTTGGAAAAGGAGGCTTATTTGACTAGGCAAAACACAGGTGATTTTTGTTTTTAAGGCAGAGAAACTATGGATACATGACATTATGCATTTATCAAACCCATAGAACTTTACAGAGCAAAGAAGAATTTAAGCTGTGTAAATTTTAAAAAATCATTTAAGAGGCTGGAGAATCCCAGGATAGAATGCAGATGACAAGAGAATTTAACTGTATTAGAAATGGATGAAGTAACTTCATTGAAGGGAATGGGACAGTAACTTAAGAAATGAGTGGAGGGACTTCACTGCCAATCCAGTGGTTAAGAGTCCATGCTTCCAATGCAGGGAACACAGGTTCAATCCGTTACAGTCAGGAAACTATAAGATCCCACATGCTTCACAATTAAAAAAAAAAAAAGAAAGAAACAGCAGCAGCAGAAAGAAGACTTAGTACTAAAGGCAAAGGGAACTATACATACACACTAAACTCTATACAGTGTTTCCCTTGGGGGTTGTTGTTATTCAGTCACTCTGTGTCCAACTCTCTGCGACCCCATGAACTGCAGCATGCCAGGCTTCCCTGTCCTTCACTATCTCCCAGAGTTTGCTCAAACTCATGTCCACTGAGTCAGTGATGCCATCCAACCATTTCATCCTCCGTAGCCCCCTTCTCCTCTTGCCCTTAATCTTTCCCAGCATCAGAGTCTTTTCCAATGAGTCGGCTCTTTGCATTAGGTGGCCAAAGTATTGGAGTTTCAGCTATAGCATCAGTCCTTCCAATGAATATTCAGGGTTGATTTCTTTTAGGATTGACTGGTTTGATCTCCTTGCAGTCCAAGGGACTCTCAAGAGTCTTCTCCAGCACCACAGTTCAAAAGTATCAATGCTTCTGCACTTAGCCTTCTTCTTCTTAGTTCAGCTCTCGCATCCATACATGACTACTGGGAAAACCAGAGCTTTGACTATACGCACCTTTGATGGCAAAGTGATGTCTCTACTTTTTAATACATTGTCTAGGTTTATCATAGCTTTCTTTTCAAGGAGCAAGCGTCTTTTAATTTCATGGTTGCAGTCACCGTCTGCAGTGATTTTGGAGCCCAAGAAAATAAAGTCTGTCACTGTTTCCATTGTTTCCCTATCTGTTTGCTATGAAGTGATGGGACCGGATGCCATGATCTTCATTTTCTGAATGTTGAGTTTTAAGCCAGCTTATTCACTTTCCTCTTTCACCTTCATCAAGAGGCTCTTTAGTTCCTCTTTGCTTTCTGCCATTAGGTTGGTGTCATCTGCATATCTGAGGTT